TGTAACCCACCCGAATGGTATGAATGTTGTGTTTTTTAATGATGTACTGTCCTACGTGTTAAATGTTTGTTCCCCCCCCCCTTTTTCGAGTGGTAGGCCGCTCTGAGTCCCCCCAGGGAAAAGGGCGGCATATAAATAAACTTCTCAAATCTCTCAAATCTCAAATATGTCTGAAATTACAGTGTTTGCGACAGCTAAATTCCCCTTCAAATTGTCATGGCAATATTATTTTATTGACCAAGAAAAGACAGTACAATAATTGCTTCCTGACAACCAGCAATTCCATCTTCCAAACTTTTTGATTTGGGTATCAAGTTTGCACAAATTGATGATGACTTACAGCTAGCACACCATAATTTCTTGTTCTTCAGATCTTTGGGAGGGGAAGGAAAACAAAATCTCACCTGTGCCAGATCAGAAATTCCTAAATATCTAAAAGGTAGATTTATGTATCTATGAACATATTATTAAATATCGAATAATATATATCTAAATGAGCTCCATTCGATACCGGGCTGCACTGGTATAAATCAGTGGTGAAATTCAATTTTTTTTTTACTCCCAGTTCTGTGGGTCTGGCTTGGTGGGCGTGGCAGGGGAAAAATACTGTAAAATCTCCGTTCCCACCCCACTCTGCGATCACCCAGAGGTGGCATTTGCCGGTTCTCCGAACTAATCAAAATTTCCACTACTGGTTCTCCAGAACCTGTCAGAATCTTCTGAATTTCACCCCTGGCATAAACTATTTTGTACCTTTGGAATGTAAAAACCAAGCATGTTCATATCCTTGTTGCATCTTCTGGCAATACCAAAACTTAAGATATAATTTATCCGCAAGATCTCATGAATCACAGCATTGGTATAGGGCAGTTTCTTTCGATCCTGGTAGCAAATTAAGCCGGAGGAACAATTAGTTTGTATCTCCTTGTATACTTCATCTGAGAAAAACAAGAAAACAAAGTGGTTTCTTTACCTATGACTTCAATTTATTTGTGCGTTTGTTGGTATCCCACAATTATTATTTTGATAAATAACTGAAAGCAGTGAACATATCCCACAAAACTTCCCCCACAACAACTTTGTGAGGCAGGGGTGCTATTCCCTGACCTTCCCTACCGGTTCGCAAATGGGAGCACGAGATTTCCCGACAGTTAAAACAATTTATAAGTGGAACGACTTGCCTTCAGAAGTTGAGGGTGCTTCACCACTGGAGGCTTTTAAGAAGAGACTGGACAGCCACTTCTCTGGACTGGTATAAGGTCTGCTGCTTGTACAGGGGGTTGGACTAGAAGACCTCTAAAGTCCCCTTCAACTCTGTTATTCTGTTAAACGGTTTCACTTTCACTTGTCAGAATGGTTCCAGGACACTGGGGAAATAACTGATCAGACTCACTCACTTTCATTGTGTCTTACTTTATAGGCATAATCGGGGGACAGATATTTCTCTACTGCTTGGACCTACATAATGTAAGAGAAGAGCAGGCAAAGCTAGAAGTGTGGAGTTAAATGAGTCACCAGCCTGGAGTTGATAGGTAAAGGTAACATTTCCCCTCGCACATATGGGCTAGTTGTTCTTGTCTCATCTCTATTTCAAAGCCGAAGAGCCTGCGCTGTCCGAAGACGTCTCCGTGGTTATGTGGCCGGCATTACTAAATGCCGAAGGCGCACGGAATGCTGCTACCTTCCCACCAAAGGTGGTCCCTATTTTTTTAACTTGCATTATTACATGCTTTTGAACTGCTAGGTTGGCAGAAGCTGGGACAAGTAACGGGAGCTCACTCCGTTATGCGGCGCTAGGGATTCAAACCGCCAAACTGCCAAACTTTCTGATCAACAAGGTCAGCGTCTTAGCCACTGAGCCACTGCGCCCTTACATGTCAGTAGACATGTCTACAATTCCACCAAACGTAGTTACTCAGAATATGTATCAAAGTTGACTACACAGAAGGAGATGTGGTATACCCCTTTCCTCTTTGGATGTACAGTATAACGAAGATGTCCCTCTGTCTCCTAAGGCTTCTCAAATATAAAATATGAACACATCCTGCTTGAAGCACCATGTTTTTCGGAGTATAAGACGCATCTTTTCCCCTCAAAAAAGAAAGTGAAAATCTGGTGGGTCTTATATACTGAATACAGCATTTTTTGCCATTTGGTTGCCGAAACCACACCTCTTTGCAATAATGGCCATGCTTAGCCTTTAGGAGACTTCCAGGGTGCTCCTGGGGGTTGGGGACAGCAAAAATGAGCAAAAAATGGGCCGTATTTTGCTCATTTTTGCCCCCCAGCCCCCAGGAGCATTCTACAAGCCTCCTAAAGGCTATGCATGCCCTTTTTTTGATGAAAAAAAACAGGCCCATTTTTGTGAATAACAAGCCATTTTTGGGAAGTCTGCATAGTGCAAAAACCTTTTTTTAAAATTTGCCTCTTCAAAATCTTGGTGCATCTTATACTCCAAAAAATTACGGCTGATTCCATTAAAGATCTAATTTGGATGATATGGCCGAATTTTCTTATTTTAGCTGTTCATCGTCATTCCGCCCTGTATGAATTCAAAGACAGATTACAACTCCCTGCTAGAGAACATAAGTTCCTCCCCATGGGATGAAGTACACCTCTTTAATTACATTTCTCCTCACCTTGGACATCTGGATGATTGGTGATGTAAAGCAGGGCCCATTGCAAAGTGGTGGCACTTGTCTCTGTCCCGGCTATAAAAAAATCGACAATGCACGCAGCCAGATTATCTTCATCGTAGGTATTGCTGGGTTCATTCTTGCTCTGTTGAGATTATTAAAAAGAAATAGCAAAGGAGTGAAGTTATAGCTAGGGAACCTACCACACGCCTGGCAGAGGTGGCATGCAGAGTCCTCTCTGCGGGCGCACAAGCCCCAGCTCAGCTCCACCACACATGCGCATGCACCTCCCAACAGCCAGATAATTTTTGGCCCTCTGCCACACATGCACGGGGGTGGGGCGCATGCAGGAGGCGTGTGTGTGTGTGTGTGTGTGTGTGTGCACAGGTGGTGTGGGGGGTCGCGTGTCTATGTACGGGCTTTGTGCATGCATGCAGAGGATAGGGGGGCACGGGGGCAAGGGGAGCGTGTGGGGGGGTC